TGGTAACAGCAGGAGTAGCAACTGTAGCCTTAACAGGGCTTAACCTCATGATGATGGGCCCTCATTGTATTTCGTCACACAGGCTCGAGACTTGAGTTCAACAGTCTGACATTTTCGGCCGCAAGCTTCCTGATTCATGGCATCCAGCAACAACACCCCCATGCTACACAGAATCAAGGGCTACAATAAGGACCCGGAGGAGGCTGACATCAGTGCACCACACACCGACCAAGCGCTTGGGCTCAATAGAAACAGTACCGCAACGGAGTATCCAGGAAAACTCAATAATGCTAGAGGCAGTCTTATAGCACTGATTCATCACTGCCAGTATGCTTATCCATAATCTGGGTTGCTGTTAAGGACCTTAAAATAAGTCATGATATTATGGGTATATAGTAAAGTAAATAATGGGATGTCCTAATTCTAGCATATTAAATGAAATTCCCTAAAAGCTACCCAGTAATATGCAAAGATGAACCGCATCCCCAGCCAGGCCACAATGATTTTGGCAGCCTGTCAGTGGAGAGCAGCGGATCCTCGGACGCCAAAGGTTGCAGGAGAGGCCACAACTTACTGCAGCGGAGTGCCACAACTTGGCATATCTCTTCAGCTCAATGAAGCTGTTACCTACCCTGTGGGCATTGAAATCAAAAATCTTCCGCTTCATTCCTCGGGGTCTGGGCTACCTGCACTTCCGCCGCCGCAGCGTCGGTCGGCAGGCCACTGGCAGCGCTTGTGGGGTCGCAGGTGTACTTGCAAGATCCGTGCGGACACGAATGACATACATGACCAGCTGTAACATGAACATCATGTTAATCAAAATTCTAATCCTAATCACTTAGCTACAATAAGAGGCAGACCAGCACTGCAGAGAAGCTGAAGCATATCCCCCAATAATGGAGAATCAGATGGAAAAGAAAATGGAAAATGAAATGGAAACTGCTCTAATATATTGGGATAATGGAAAATAAAATGGAAACTACTACAGTGGCAGCAGCAGGAGTAGTATCTCCTGGCCTGCTGCAGCTGCTGCCAGTGAGCCCCACGGAGCACCTCTGGTTTGGAGGACTTGGGTCTGGTACTATAGTATAATGGGGTATAATATATACTATATGGGAATAATGGAAAAGAAAATGGAAACTACTATAGTATAATGGGGTATAACCGTTTAGGTAGGCGCGTGAACAGGGATTTCCTGTCTGTCGCGGAGGCCGACAAACAAGACCAGCGGACGCATTTTTTTCGTCACGAGGGACCACAGCAGCCACTCAACTCCCAATCAGTACAAGCGTCACAGTCCTGTCCCATGGTGGACGACACATATCTGCTGTGGCTCAGGCACGTTTCCCCATCCACAGCTGCGGAACTACATTCCCTTGCATGGAGTACTGTTCCTGTACGAAAGGGTCTCCCCGCAAGCCCTCATTCCAACTTGCAGGAATTCTGTGGTCGCGAGACACCATCCGTGTGCAAAAGCCCTCCGTTCGGAGGAGGAGGGCTCTTTGAGCATGCTACCTGGTAGTGCTTCACGCAAAGCGAGCGCAGGAAGCCTTCGATCATTGCTCGGCAACCACCTGAAGCATGCAAGAGACGGAGCATGGATTCCACGATTAAGGGTTCAGGTTCAGCAATATTGAAGCATGATGAAGCCAAAGGGGTGATAGTGGGGATCGTGCAAGGATCTGAAATGTTTGTCTATCCACCAACATTCAGGTGGCCCTCATGAAGTCTACGTAAGCTGCTATAGAAGGTTAAGCTAGTTCTCGGTCAAACCCCTCGCAGCCCTCTGAATGGCTATTAGAAAAATCAAGGGAGCCCCAGCCAATATTTCGGGTTCAGGGTTTAAGGTTTGTTTGAGGTTGCTAAAGCCACCTAAGGACATGCAACTACGCCAGACTAAAGGCAAGCCATCCGTGGAATCGAAAGCAACTGCAACGCAGCTTTTTAGATGCGAGCTACACTGTAAAGTCCGTGTACAGACCCAACAACAACAACAACAACAACAACCACGACGACAACAACTACATAAGAGACATCAGAGCACACCCTAACCCTGAACTCCTGATCTCCACAGGATCCTTTTTTTGATGCCAGGTGCTGGCTCGCATGGGTGGTCGGACAGATTTGCAATCTGTTCCCACGCCGGCAACAGCAGGTCATCTGCTCACTCAAACTTTACTTTACGAGATCCAACAAACAGAACAGTCACGGTCAAGGGTTTGGGGTGTGGTTTGGAAACTTGGGGCTTGGTGTCCTTCATTGGTTCATATCATTCAGTGTGAACTTCGTTGGGATCCATGACTGAATCCTTGAAGCAGCCAGGGCCCCAACTTCACAACAGGGAACCAGGGAAAGCGCACAAACCAAATAGACCAGGTGAGGATATCCTGCAACATGATCGCTATGCATCATTTCTTTGGAAGGTTCCTTGGTTCCCGGAACAACCCTGTCACGCCATTTCCTAAGGGTACTTGCGTTTCTCTCCCAATAGCGTCCGCGCTCGGACATCAGGTCAGGTGGTCTCAGGGATCGCTGCTGTCAAGACCTCGATCACGTTCCATCCTCACCATATGCAAGAACTCAACCAACTTGTTTTTAGTCTTCGCACGCCCTGCCAGAAAGTTGCGCAGAACTTCAGGCAAACGATCAAAGACCGCATCGATCATCGGGTCTTCCTGGAAGGCTGCTGGCAAGCACTGAGCCAGAATCCGACGCGCCCGGGCACAATCAGCCAAACACCTGTAACATGCAACAACCATGGCAAACAGCGGTGCCGAAGGGCTGCGCATGAGGAAATCCAATACGTTGGCCAAGGAATTGGCCACCGCGTAGAAACGTGCTGCCTAATCACACACGTATTGCAAGACTTCGGCACGTGAAAAGAACTTGTTCAGAAGAAAAGCTGCACCAATTCGGCTTATCTCGCTGCCGTTTTCCTAGGATCATTGGCAAGTCTTGAATCTCCGACTTGAATTAACGATACCGGCTTGCACTAACTCATGGTTTAAAATTGTACATATACTGCTGAACAAAACCCAGCCTCCAAGATTCCGAGGCACAGCGGAATTATTTCAGAGCTCATGATCCGACTGTTGACTTCTGTGTTGCTGTCTTGAAGCAACGCCCAAACAGCAAAAACCGCGGTAGCGCGCAGCACTTCGATCCGCTGATCTGTGCTGAACACATGCAGCAATGGATAAAGAAGTTCCGGCATCTTGGAAAGAAGCAGTTCCAAGCGGATCACAGGGTTCATTGCCATGTAGAGGAGAAGCCGCAACGAGCCGGATGCTCGCGTGTATGTGGCTGCTGTCAAAGTTGCAGGCGTCTTTAGCTGCGGGTAGACTTGCACCACTTCCGAGATCAAAATACTCACCGTACCAAATGACGACCAAAAAACAGGTGCAAGTTCCGCCCTCTGACTGGAATGCGCAAGTCCTTGCCGCAAATCCTCCCGCACCAAATTTTCTAGCCCCTGTAGGGCTTCCTCTCTTGCATCACCAAACTGGAGGTCCTGTATCAAGCGCACCAGCAGCAGGTCATCCATGTTTGCGGTTCCTCAAGTTTGCTTGGGCCTCACATGCAATGCCGCATTTGAGTGTAGCCAACAACAACGCGATGTAGTCTTGCGGCAACACCAGGAATAACAAGCACGCTCAAGCAAAAAAAACTGCAACGTATCCTATGTAGTTTCCATTTTCTTTTCCACTATACCCTATAACACCTCTATATAACCCCAATATTACCTATCATTATCAATAATATTACCTATTCTTATTAACAATATTGCCTATTATTATCATTACAAATATTACCTATTATTACTAATATTACCTATTGTTAAGAATATTACCCATTCTTATTAATAATATTACCTATTATTATCAATAATATTAGGGTCAACTAATCGTGGCCTCCTTGCAGCCTCTTTGACGACGCTGTCCGGCTTGTGGAAGATCTTGAAATCACTGCGGATTCCTGCGTTGACCCACATGCTACAAGAGGGTTTAGGGTTTAGGGTTCAGGGTTTAGGGTTTAGGGTTTACAAGTGCTTTTATCTTGGAAATATTGGCAAATCAACTTGCTCTTCCGAAGACTACACTGAAAGTCTCCTGAAACGAATGAAGCAACCGTTGCCCAAGCATTGGGTCTGCATTCATCTTCCGCAGCCACTGGTCGAACTCCTCGCCTGCGGGCAAACACAACCTCTCTGCAAGCTATGTAGTTTCCATTTTTTTCTTCTCCATTATACCGTATATAACCCCTATATAACCCCAATATTACCCATTATTGGTATTAATAATATTAGGGTTTCCGAGCTCCGCTTCAACTTCAAGGCTTAGGGCCAACATTTCTCACAGAATTCGACCTCGAAGCCTGACGAATATTTGGTAAACTCAAATGAGTGAGGTGATTGAATCTTAGTTAGAAAGTATCTCACGTATTAGGGTTGTACAAGGAACGAGCCTTTTCTTGGTGTAAGCAAGCTTCCTTAAGTGCGGATGTGGCTTAGCTACGACAAGAACCTTCCTTACTTTGAGAATCCTTAGTGCATGTCATTGTGTCATGCCAATGCTTGATTTCTAGATGGTTAACGGTGAAGGATGGCCACAATCTGAGCCATGGTCTAAACTCCTAGTATCCCCCTTAACATCCCCTAGAGTCCCCTATGTAATCCCTTGTATAACCCCGTTTAAGGAGTTTAGATTATGGCTCATCTGTGGCTGAAGGTGTCTGGTTTTAGAATCTAGGGGTTGACGCTCGCAGTTCAGGAGGGTTGGGTTGGGTCTGTCTTTGTCGCTGTTCCTGCACATGGCGTAGTTCTGGGCTTACATGTGGCAAGCTAGCATGGAAACAGTGAAGATGGAAGGGTGACAGGCACGGTGCAAACCAGGCTTCTGGGAACGCACGGGAACACCTGCAACACAGCCAGACAACTGTGGCTCTTTCCTGGAAAGCAAGTGACAGCAAAAGTCTACGGCAAACAGTTGGCAGCCTGTTCTTCACAGCTGGTGCTTGCCGATATCGTCGCACTCCCGCGGAGAGTCGTTCAGCAGGCTGAGAGCCTCCTGCGCAACAATCTCAGGCTGTGACAGGATATGTAGGCAAGACAAGCATCCAGGAAGAAGAATCCAAAAGTGTAACATGCCATTGGCGAACTCGGATCTGTTGGCGAAGAATCCGGGGGTATACTATAGAGGAATAATATAGGGGTATAATATAGGGGGTATAATTTAGGGGAATCACAAAGAGGTATCATGAACATTGCACAAGCCGGGACCTCAGCCGACTACACAAATGAACTATTCGTGAACTCTGAGCATGTACAGACACTCCTCGCCTGCATAATGCTCTTCAAGCGGACGATAGGGAGCGTGAGGTTCGCATCGCGGTCCTTGGCATGCAGTCTAGAAGCTCCAGGATCAAACCACTTTTGACCTATATGACATGCTCGGGACCTCAAAAACCACGCCACTGATTGCAGGCTCATGCGCAATCAGAAGTGGGGTTTTAGGACGGTAGTTCCGAATTAAATTCTATCTGGAACTATCCTAGATAGGATCCCACAAAAATCAGCCTCCAAGCACCCCACTCAAATATGCTCATTCTCTGTATCCCCTGGTACCTCATTTCGGTCTCTCTCCAGCTGCCTTCAGAGCGGCTAGCACATTGAATTCCTGGCAGAGGATCTTCCGTGCACATACCATGGACAAGCTAATCTCTGGCACGATTCACTAGGTGGACCCCCCATCCTGCAATAGTGGTAAAATAGGAATATAAGAAAACTCCAATATAATCACCATTGTCCCTTGTAGTCACTATTGCTGAGGGGGGTGTCCACCTAAATGATGCGTCAGGTTCCTGCCATGGGATACGGAAGACCAGCGGCCTTCAGACCATGCTTTGACTTTTGCATCTGCAGCATTATACTCCTTATTATAGGAGGGCTTGTGCAGTGAAATCTGAGGCTCTGAGGAGTCTGCCCGTGCGCGAGCGTCTATCAATAACAAGCATTCGTTCCAGGACGGACTTCTAACAGCTCTGACACAAAGGTCGGTTGCCAACAGGCAATAACAATTTCGATGCACCCTACAGCCCTCCCCAAAAACAAGAGAGCGTAAACCCAGCCATGGCTTGAAAGTCCCCCTAGTGCAAACCGCCCGTGGGCCTCATCAAAGCGTTCGGTTCCACCAACTGGCTTGACGCAGATGTGGTGGATCAGCGCCAGCCGCGCAATGCCGCCAAAGGTCTCATGGCCATCCCAGTTCCACCTCCACATCAGAGTCTGTCGACGTTGCTGTCGTCATGGTCGTAGTTAGAAATTGAGGTTACAATAGAAGTACGAGTAGGCGTAGTAGCAGTAACTACTGCAGTGATCGTCGTCGTCGTCGTCGTCGTCGTCGTCGTCGTCGTCGTCGTGGTCGTCGTCGTCGTCGTCGTCGTCGTCGTCGTCGTCGTCGTCGTCGTCGTCGAGTTCGTCGTCGTCCTCGTCGTCGTCGTCGTTGTCGTCAATGCATTTATTGCTTCACTACCTCCGCGTGATACAAGCGTGGGCCATGAGCATCCTGCGTGAGAGAGTCTGAGAGCGACAGAGATTATGCTCTAAGCCCCTAAACCTTGAACCCTACACCGTAAACCCTGCATGAAATCCAGGATTTGACCATTTTAAGGAACCCAGCGCCTCCTAAACTGCCCACTCAACTCCCTGGGCCCCCAAAAAAAAATCATCAATCCCCTTTAAATCCATAACAAACCCGTAGAACTCCCCAGGTTCTGAAGGGTTTAGGGCTTAGGGGATCTCTAAACCCTAAACCCTAAACCCGACACCCTAAACCGCGTACTCCTCCATGGTTTCAGTCTGCACCTGTCGCTGCAGGTGAGTTGGAAGGTGGGCGCCCCCATAGTCCGGAACTCGATCAAGGAACCGCCTCGCAGCGCTTTATGAATAATGTGATTTAGCTCCATATATGAAAGACAATATATATGTGTATATATATATGTATATAGATAGATGGAAATATATAAAGCATACATAAAATCATATGATCTATGATCATATAACATAATATAGAATAATACAGTATAATATTGTTTGGGTTCCATAGGGAATACATGGAAAGAAATTGAAAATATTTCAGCCTATTCGGGATTATATTGGGACATTGTGTAGGATATTTAGGGATGTCACCTTATTGAAGGAAAATCTAATGGAAAAGCACATGAGAGTTGGAATGGAAACTGGGGCTAAATAGCGGTAAGTAGGCCAAGAACCCTACGATAAGCCATATCACATTCCTAGCTCTAACCAGGTTGAACTTACTTAGCCCTTCTGATCCTCCTACCGAGGTATAGTGTATTGACAAGCCTCATGGGAGCACTACACTGTGATGATGACGACAGTCATGCTAATGATAGCACGCCACAGGTTGCTTAAACAGGGACCGCCCGTTGGGAAACACCTCCAGTGGCTAAACCAAGTGAACTTGAATTCGCCCCATACGACGCTATACCCGAGAGGAACATAAAAATCCTACCCGATATATTGGCAACTGTAATGTCTCCATTGAAGATGCGGTAATTTCCATACCTAGGGGGACCCCAATATAGACCCAAAGTACTATAGCCACGATTATAGGTACAGCCAGAAAAAGTGCTCCTAACTTGTGAAACCCCTCAACCCTATGAGATCTCTTCGTAACCCCAAATATCTCTATATAACCCCTAGGCGCCCCTTTCAAGGTGCTCCGAATTTTGGAAAACCCCCATACTGCTTGCTTACCCTACACCCCAAACCATTAACCCTTAACCCCAAAAACTTGACCCCAAGCCCTGAACCCTAAACCCCAAACCGTTAATTAACCCTAAACCCTAAAGCCCCAAACCCTAAACCCTCAAACCACGAATCTGGAGAGCTCTTGCCTTCCTTCATCGCCCAGACCTTTTTGTCATAGGGGCTTCTCAAAATAGGGTTGCTTTTACGGACACATTGGGATTTATAGGAATAAGTATACATGGGGGGTCCCAAAATCAGGGGTACCTTTGTGTGGCCCCCTTAATAATGATTATAATATTTGGGCATCTACATTGGTGTCCCCTTATTTTTGGGAAACTACCATGCATATATATATATATGTATATATATTTGTCTATACATATGGATATATAGGGATATATCAGGGTTCATGGGGCCCACCCTCAAGAATATATGTTTGAGAAACTCACGCATGGATCTTGAAGCATTGGGGAGAAGCCCAGAGAGGGCTGAGGAAGTTTGATGGTGGGAGGTCCCAACTTTGCCTTTGTCACTTTTGAGACCTGTAGCTGATCGGTGTGCACACTGCTGCATCGTGAATGTAGCTCCGTCGTAGCTGAGCGCGGGAGATGGCTGACCAGAACAGCTCAGGGCCCGCTATGGTGAGACATAATGTATACCCTATTATGCTTTAGTAGTTTCCATTTTCTTTTCCATTATCCGTATATAACCCTAATTTATACGCTATTATAATATAATAGCTTCCATTTTCTTTTCCATTATCCCTATATAACCCCAAATGTTCTACATGGCTGGCACCGGAAAACTCTCCCACGTGAAAGGCTATCATCAATGAAATCAACCTATCTTCCGATGCCGTGGGTATCCAGCTCAAGCTAGAACCCTGGGCGCCACGCAAAGCATCTAAAGCGAGAGCTTTCAGAACCTCACCCACCGAAAGAAGATAGAACACACCCTTTTGCTGGCGGAGCCTGCGCCTTGCACAGGCATCGGCTACTTGGGCAAAATCCAACCCAAAAAAAACAGCCCTTGAAGCCACCAGCTGATTTTCGCATGTACCAGCTCTAACACTAATTCCGAGATGCCCAGGAGAGCCCGGCGCCATGGATGCCGATCAGCACCGACAGCCCCGCGAAGCGCCGAAACTGCGCTGCCCACGGCACGCCCTTCGGGTGGCTTGGGAGATGCGGAGTCGGAAGAATTCTAAAGGAATTCGGGGATCTTAAGATTCTAACCGTGAGCTACTGGGATCAGGGAGCCCAGCGCTGCGCACCTGTCCCTGGAAGCAAATTGTGTCACAGCTTTAAGGCGCAGAGCTGCTGACTAAAAAGCTATGAGCTGCAACATCAGGGCCTTGAAGCTCTCAATGGTTTCGACAGAGAGCCGTGGTTCGAAGTCTTCCCTCAGCATTCCCAAGACCTCCTCCAGGTTCAGAATGGCACCTGGCATCGTGGTTTAGGGTTTAGGATTCTCCCCACCTAAGATCCAAACCCCAAAGCCCTGAAACACCTTAGAGGCGCGTATACGGTAAACCCAATGTCCATGTCACGTGTCAGTTTCATGAACGCCTGTATCCTTGCTCCGATGTCTCGAGGGCTCACAGAAAAAAGACTCCCGGAAGGAAAATGTAACGAGACTGCTTCTTGAACATGTGATTAATCCCAATCTCCGCGCTGTACGAAGCATCCCCCCCTTCCTGTCGCATTACTTGCTGTCTATGGACAATGCAAAGGTCGAATAATCATCAGCGACTGTTGAGTCCTGAACGGATCGGGTTGCATCTTCAAATTTTTCAGAGCACACCACGCAGAAATATACAAAGCAAAACGGGTCAGGGAATTGGAGAGCCTGCAAGTTGCCAAGCTACTTCTGACTACCCAGCAGAACCGCGCAAACACGTCCATGCACAACAAGTCTACACGAAATGGGCTGTGAATTTGAATGGCAGCAAGCGTGGTTCATGACCAAGCCTACTTGGGCATGGATTCACACCTAAACACCCTTACAGAACTGAGAAACGTGAAGCTTTCAAAGGAACTCTGCCCACGGCACGTCCAGAAATGGGTGGCCGCTGGATCACGGCCACACGCCTATCCAAGGGGCTGTTGGAAACGCACCAACAGGATCTGCAAAATCGGTATCAGCTTTGTGTGCGGCTGTGGCACGCAGAAAATAGGATTTCACACGGATGACAGGGATGGGCCAGGATGGGCACAGTCGGGGCTTCAACACTTCAACGTGCAGGCATGTACATTGCGAGTATTCCTTCTGAGAGACTGCATCCACCTTTAAGGGAAAGATGCTCGACTTGACTGGCAGACTCCTGTCAAGGGATGTTACAGAAGTACGCGGCACCAAACCATAAAATTTCAAGTAGCGCATGGCATCAAACGCAGCTTTGCATATGAAGGATTCCTGCTCCCAACAACTTGTCCTGCATAAGATCTTTTCTGATGCTTCTAAGACCAAACAAGCCTTGATGCCTTTGGAGAAAGGTTCCGAAGGCCGGAAAAGGAAACATTCAACTGATGGCTCTTAAGCCGTCAGGCAAAACCTCTGCAAACACAGTTCCTGTTTCCCGCGGCCTCTGATGTCCAGGAAGCACTTCCGGGATTCGGAGAGCGCGAACTGAGCTGCAAGAGCGATGCATGTATGGCAGTCCTTCACAACAACCCGCCAGGTTTTCGTGGATCGCAGCCGCGAGGCGTACCCACCTCCTGGCCCGCATCACATCGATGCAGCTGATGCGAGGCGTCATCACCTTCACGAGATCTGCTGGCCAACACAGGTTGTACTGCTGATGGACCCAATCCTGCATGACCCTCAGTATAGCACCATATTTCCTGCGGTTCTGCTATACATGCCATACAGTGTCCTCACATCTGAACATTCCGAACCTCAAACTGCAGGTCGTGGCTTGGGGGACCCTCTGAGAAGCACACTGAACAATCCAGATTGCCATCCATGAACCTCATGGTTTGGAATCCGATCTTCACACTCTGTTCAGTACAAACAGTTCGAGACCCGCTGCATTATGGTCCATGGGAAAGCTTACTTGAAATCTTTTCGTTCAAGCTTATAATTTAGGTGGACCCCCCACCCAGTAATGGTGACTATAGGGGATAGTAGGGATCATACTAGGATCCTCTTATATTCCTATTATACCACTATTACAGGGTGGGGGGTCCTCCTAACTTATAATAGTGGATCAGCACGGTCGCCCAGCTGCCTGGAATCGCAAGGGCGGAAGGCCAAAAATGACCTTCCGGTAGGTTGTGCCAAAGTAATCCTGCAGCATTGAGGGTTTAGGGCTTAGGTTTAGAATTTAGGGCAAAATCATGTACTTCATGCAGTCTGGAATGCTGGCGTGGAACAAAGATAAAGCCTCCAGGTTTCAGTCTTCCTATAGACACGTCCACTTCCGAAATACCTAAGCTGACAAGGGGCCATGATCTTACTCTACGTTGGGGACTCTCTCTGTTTAGCATACTGCAGAACCCCTACATTTCCATGTTCACCTGCATTCGATTCTCCATGTGATTCTGCAACCTAATGGGGGCCTAGACCCGAAACACGCAGTCCTAACCCCTAAACCCTGAACCCTGAACCCTAAACCGTGACCTGTAGCATCCCTAAGCCAACTTCTACTCAAATGAAGTCTGCGTCCTTTAGCTGCTTCGGAGGTCGGGCCGTAAGCAACCGCAGGATGTCCTGCAAGACTTCGGATTTAGGGTTTCAGGTTCAGTTTAGCGGTTGGGTTTAAGGTTTTGGAGTTTGGGGTTTAGAGTTTAGGGCAGGGTCAAGCCCAAACTAGCATGGATCCCCAAGAAGGGCCCTACAAAGAATACTGCCCTTGGAAAGGCGGTATTTGTATGGTTCCGGGATCTGTCTGGGAGAGGGCGAGCACGGGAGATGCAGGATATGGCTTCCTACCTGGCATCTCCACTCAATGGCAGCAGTCCTCATGCAATCCACCCGCATGCCAGGCACGAAAATTGCGAAGGCGCCGATGATCCGCCACCTGCATGCACGAAAACCCATCATCATCATCATCATCAGCTTCAGGCTTTGCGGAGTCATTACAAGTCGGGTTGCCTGCCGAACTATTCTCAAGATCTGGCCCCGAAAGTTCTTGCCCAAATCAAATCCAGTTAC